TATGTGCGCCAAACGGGCCGCGGTCTTAATGACAGTTTAAGAGAATGTGCTTACAATACGTCCTCGGTGATATCTGGTCACCCTGGCACTCATTGCCGTGACAGTTATTGCGTGCTTGAGTTTCAAAGATGTGAGGCTGTAAAACGTCACCTTTACCAGGTGACACGTGAAATTCTTGATGCCTTGGATATCGCAATGTTAGTTTATGTCTCCGTCATCAGTCCTTTAATTTTTCTCTCTCTCTCTCAAAAAAAAGATTGCTTTTCTTGTACCATGCTGTGCTTGTGTTGTGCGCCTTACTTTTTGCGACTTTTTGGCGTTTTTTAAGAGATGTGTTTTTTTTAAAGCTGATCTTCTGTTCCTTTTTATCTCTCTTTGCTCTTGAGTGTGCTAATATATATGGCGCTGTATCGATCTTTAAAACTTACTTGTGAGTCAGCGCTTAATGTGCGTCTTTCTTCATGTGGCCCCTAATTCCTTGCGCTGTTTTAATTTTCAAATGTTAAGGAGGCGACCGATTTCAACAGGCGTCATAGAGTTAGCAATCCGCCAGAGTCATTGTAAAAAGTCTGGATAACAGACTTAAAGAAATCAGGAACGATATTTTGGAATGACGACGGGCCACGTTTTTACTCTGTAAGCACAAGGAAAGGAATGGCATCGTCAGACGAAATGCGAAATATTTGGTTCTTGACCAAATTGAAAGCATCCAGGCCGATGAGATATCTTGGGACGGTTTACCGGAGACAATTCCATGAGCGAACATCAAGATCATAAGCATCTCGACGTCCATACATAACCACAATTCGGGTACACCATGCTAGCAGAAAGAGTAGTGAAGCCTATATAGACAAAGTTTTTCATCTACCCACTAATCATTCTAGCCAGAGCTCAGTTAAAGTGGCTTAAAGGGGGCAGTGTAGTAACCGCGTAGCCTCCACCAATGCATCGGGAACGGCCGCTCCTTGGAAGACGGTGTAAGTGGCGCTTCGATCCGCAGCTCCGTTAGGTGCCTCAATCGGCCGGCAGATAGAGGCACCCTATCACGCTTCATAATTGATATAAATACATCAAAAACAATTATTTGTTTTCAGTGAACTACCAACGACATGATTTGTGTTTGAAGGTGAATAGAAATGTGAAACTAGCAGACGACAGTGTAGTCGACACAAGGGTCGACAGCTGGCTGCGAATCGGCCGGAGCTGGCCGGAGCCAAGCTGATCAAGCAGCCAAGCCGGAGCCATAGCCGGAACGACGGTGCTGCAAGCGGAAACGCCACCCGCGGCCGTCTTCTAACGCTGTGCCGCTTCTCCGGTTTCGTTCGTTACACAACCCCCCCCCCCCCCCTTTAAGCCACTGTAGCTCAGTGCTATAACATCCCCGCGTGCTCTCGTTTCCTCCTTTCCCTCAGAGCGCACCCTGCTTCCCCGCGGAAGAATCGGGCTCTAATTCCTCAAGCCCAGTTTCCCATTTCACTTTTTGCCGCTTGTGCCCAGCTACCTTTTATTGACTCCGCTCTTTTCTTTAGCGAGGCACTGTGAATAAGACTGCGGCACATTCAGTGAGTCCCTCGTCCCGCGAACCGCGTATGCGCACATGAAGAATAGGAGGAGGCGCAATGGTGTCGCAATGGAGACGATCAGTTTAAGCAGAGGAGGAGAGCACGTCAAATTGTTTAGTTTCAAAGATTCGGATATTTTGATAGCATGCAATAAAAACAAAAAAAGCCTGCATGTTTGGTGATTTTGCGGAATGAGCGTAAATGCGCTAGTTTTTAAGGGTGGATGGTGCTGTTAGTTCGAGTGGTACATAGGGAAGTGTTTTGAGATACATGGGTTCCACATCAGGCGATGTGACGGATATAATTTTTTCATGATGCCGCCAGAAGCCTGCCACGAGGAGAAGGACCAAGGTCCAGGTTCACTTTGTCGTGTTGTGACTGACATACATCTCTCTCTCTTTTTTTTCCTCATTGTCCAAATCGACTTGGAGGGCAGTCGGAGAGTGGAGTGGCGATGCTCTAAGCTTAGCTAGAGCCTCTAGGCAGTGAGTGTGTGCGCACCTTTACGTACGGGGAGAGAACCCGATTCCCATCCTACCGCATGGCCGACGGCTACCAGAAAAACTAGTCAGAACGCCGGGGTCGTTAACTCCATGCCAAAATAAATATATCTGTATCCAACAGCATTCTTTTTAGGAAACAGGGGTCCACAAAAAGACCCTGCGGTCGAGCGAGCCGCGGACACAGGAAGTTCGCAGTGCTAACCGACCTGAGAGCCAAATGGACTCGCGCACACATCATTGACAGATGACAAGATTGAGTCGCGATCCGTTCTTTTGCATGAGCCTAATCGAGGGCCCCCTTTTGCGTGGCCGCCACCCCAAAACCTGGGAAGGTCGTTCTCCAGGGAGAGATTTAGCGGTCCCCTTAAAAAAACACTGACACTCCCCCCCCCCCCCCCCCAAAATTTTTTTTTTCATTTTTTGCCAGGCGGTTTATTATGGTGTCGGAATACTACCCAATTAATATTTTGCTAGAGTCACATATTTTTTTAATAAAGCCAAAAACACGCAACTGCTCGAAACTGAAACCGAAACCCATGCACCGCACCGAGATGTGGAGAGGAGAGAGTGAGTGGCGGAAGTCACGTGGCTACACCCGACCGGGCGATTTTTTTTCCGGGTGCAGCAGACGAAATGCGTTCGCGATCCATTCGCCGTGCGTTCCGCTCGCTGTTCTGTGCTTCAAGATGAGTGGTTTTGTTCATTGAAGTGTTGGGCATTAGTAGTGAGTGCCCATGGGGAATTCCCGTGATCGGCTTCGAAAAGAATACTCCGAAGATGTTTAGTGAAGAGCTGCCTCATGTCTGAAAGTGGCATTGTGCGGCAGAGGTGTCAAAAATGGAATCCCATACCATTTAGTTCAGCGACGTATCGTACACAGCAATTGTTTTTTTTTTTCAGTGATAATTGTGAAAAAAAAGTGAAAGCCGTTTACAACTCCCTGCAACGCCGAATTGGAGCGCAGCTCTTGAGGAGGAGGAGGGAAGGGCACTAAGGGGAGGGTAGACCGCTCCTCCTCCTCCTTCTCGTCCTCCTTCCTCATTCTTTAATATGCTCCGAGGGGGTCACCTGACCTCGGGGGGAGGGGGTCACGTGACCTCGGGGGGGGGGGGGTGTCGCGTGACGGGGGGGGGGGGGCCACGTGACCTGGGGGTCATGTTACCTGGGGGTTCACGTGACCTTGAGGGTCACGTGACCTTGGGGGTCACTTGGGGGTCACGTGACCTTGGGGTGACCTTGGGCGGGGCCACGTGACCTGGGGATTCGCGTGACCTTGGGGTGACCTTGGTTACGCCGACGGCGACGCTACTCAAGCCGGAAACGGGCGCCTAAGAGCTGCGATCTAAAAAAATTAATCATCGCAAAATGTTTGAAAACAAATGGTACGCCCAGACTAGGGATCAAACCCGTGTCCGCTGTGTGTGAAGCGGACGTCTTTTCATTGAGCTAATAAAGGATTTTTTTTTCTTTATTGCATGAGCTACTGAAGGAACTCTTTCGTTCGTAGTAATGCATCCGGTCGACTGTATGTCGGAAAGTTTGCTGCCGATTTCCCTCCAGTACATGCACTCCCGGCTTGAGGTCGGACAGCACCACGCATTGGCCACATTTGCACCAAGTAAAGAAACCATACGCGTGCGTATTCAACTCGAAGTACGCACTTCGTGCTTCACGTTCGAGCGAGCGATGTCTTGAGCCACGAGAAAGGACGACGGCTCGGTGACGTCTTCGGGCAATCGGCTTGCTGGTCGGGCGTGTCGTACGGGATGAATACCAATTGTTTTGATCGGTCAAAAATTTCTCTTTCGAAGAAGACACAATTCGCCAGTACCGTGAACGACAGTTCATAAGCGGAGGCCCCACGCCCGTCGTCCGCTGCCACCCGCGAGTCCCACGAAAGGCGAAACGACGCCATGTTGAGAATTATGCAGTGAACGCACAGAATGCTTCCGGTTGTCTGTGCAACCATTTTTTTTTTTCAATCAACATATTAGCAGCTTTTTGCAAGCCACAAAAAATGGGTTTCACATTTTTTTCTATTTTTAGTATGGGCTGCGTGCCCTCAATGACCCACGACTTTGATTAAATTTGGTGGTCGCGTCGAAACCTTAGAAAACGGCCCGTGACCACGGAAAAGGGTGAGCGCGAGTCAAACCGGCCAGTTGTCGATCGGCGGTTTTCGGGCGGAAAGAAACCGAATTTCTAGCCGCAAATTCGGTTATGAGTAGTTGGGCTCTCAGATGTCGCGTGCAACTAAAAACCTCGGCGAGCATAAATACCCTGTCAGTGTCCCTTTAGTAGATTGGGATGGGGCCAGCGAAACGGCGATCTTTTTTTCTGCAGGGTGTCCAAACATTGCATCCCCCGTGTTTTCTATCTCACGGCATATTCCGCGAAAGTTGTTTTGCGCACGTTCGTTTTTAGTTTGGACACCAACCACGCAAACAGCACGGTTTTTCTCTTCGCCTCCTTGTTGTCGTTTCTTCCTTGTTTTTTGTTTTCGGGAGATTGGAACCAATAACAAAGGCAGAGGCCTTCATGACGGAGAGGAGAGCGTGTGAATGGCTTTCTGCACCAACGTGATGAGCACACTTTAATCTTCTCTCCAAAGAGAGAAACAATAGGAGGGCCCCCCCCCCCTCCCAACCTCCCCCTGCGAAAAGAATAACGTACGAAAGCAGGCCGGATTACGGCAAGTGCCGTGATTTTAGAAAACACTTCATCTGTTGCGAGGAAACAGGCCATCTGCTCCGTTGTGTCTGGGCAGCCCTTATCACTATACGGTGCGCTCCGTCTAGAAGACAGGCGACTTCCGCTGTGGCGTATGAGGCCTACGGCCTGCTAGGGGAAAGTGATCGAGCGACTCCCACAGTAGATACCACGTAAGTTCCCGTTCCTTTCCGGATTGGGGCTGACGCTCTCTTCTCTGTTTCAGCCAGGGGAGACGCCTGCAAAGGAGACAGTGGGGGCCCCCTCATGCAGGGCGTCGTCGACGATGAGACCGTGTGGACCCAAGTGGGAGTCGTCAGTTGGGGCGACCCCAAGTGCAGCGAAGGGAAACCAGGCGTCTACACTAACGTGGCCAAATACGTTCCCTGGATCAATGAAGTTATGAGCAGAGCCCGCAATGTCAGCGATGCAGCTCAGCCGCCTCTGCCCAGCGCAGACGATAAAAAGGCATAGCTGCTTACAGCGTGCGTAACTTGTGAAACAAGCCGGAAGCAATTAGCAATGCCAAAAAACGAGCGCCAAATCCGTGTCTTTTTTTTTTCGTTTAAATTTACATTTATTTTTAAAAAAGATTCAATTGGGATTTGTAATAAAAGTACTCTGTTCAACTTGTGCCTAATATTTGAATGATTTCAACGTTCGTAGTATGGTATAATAGTCTAAGCGGCGTGCGGATGTTGGTAGATTTTCAAACTATGAAATCGTTCGTGCTTATAATATTAATATTAATAATAACCTTTATTTTCATTTAAAGAAATGGTGGAGCAAAATGGAAAAAGTTTCAACAAAAAGCTTGACTTGCCCTCAGCCCCATCGGCAGGCATTGGGCACACAGTTTTCGTGCAATGAAAAAAAAAAATCATATACAGAAAGTTATGCATTATCAAATGGGATAACAGAAACAAGACACAGAACGCTCAAATATGTAAAATTATGTTACGCAACTCTTTAAAAAGTATCGTGTCTAGATTTTTATTTTTTTCTTCAAAGTTGTTTAAAAGCTTTGGAATTAAATACCGGAGCTTTTGCCGCTCATAATTTGACCTGCATGATGGAACCTTCCAATATTCATTAGAGCGGGTCAAGTAAACCGTAATATTTTTCTAATGTAATTATATCCTTTAATAGCATACTTTCGTTGTTATTTATTTCTTAATGGTGATTAGAAGTTTATAATCTGATAGCTTACGCATTTTTAATATTTGCAGATTACTAAACATGGTTTCAGTGTGAGAGTCATAAGGTGCGTTGAAGATGGCTCTCGACATTTTTTTTTAAGCAGATAAATTTTGTTCAGGTTGGATGCCGTTGTTGTGCCCAAGATAAGGTTACAATAACTCAGCAGTGAGTAGAACAGAGTGTGGTAAATAATTAATTTTACGCGAACTGGTAGAATTTGGCTGTGGCGATATGTTAAAGCAACAACACGTGATAATTCGGAAATCAAATAATTTACATGGTTGTCCCATGACATATTTTCAGAAAAGAACAACAACAACAACATCTAATGTTTCACAATTATCCACGATCTCTATCGGACTTGAGCTAAATACTAAATGCCTTGGCATAAAAATTTGTTTATTTTTCGGACGAAAGAAAATAGCCTTTGTCTCTTCAGTGTTAATACTTAGTCCATTTTCTTTTGCCCACGCCGCCAACCTCGACAAAGTAAAATTAACATCCTCCACAATTGCATCGTTGCTTAAAGAGGAAAAAAATGTAGTAGCGTCGTCTTCATAAATTACAAATTTAGCAACAGCGTCTATATTCACAATATCGTCTATATACAGGTTGGAAAGAAGGGGTCCTAAAATACTTCCTTGTGGAACCCCTGAAATAATAGCTTTCTATCGGAGGAATGACCACTAATGTTAATATATTGGAAGCGGTGACTCAAGTATGTATGTAGCAGTAATAATGGCAACCTTCAAATACTTTAGTAATTAGGTTTACAAAGCAGAATGTTATGATCCACGAAGTCAAAGGCTTTAGTAAAATCTAAGAACACGCCAGCAACCATTCTTTTTTTTTTCTTCAAAATTTTGTAATATATATTCTTTCTGGGACAAGAGGGATAATTCCATGGAACGTTTTTTTTTTTCAGAAACGAAACTGCGAAGATGAAAGTAAATCGTGCTTATTCGCAAATTGAACAAATTGGGACTGTATTACTTTTTCGAGGCCTTCAGAAAATAAGGGAAGCATTGAAATTGGTCGATAATTGCTGAAATTATTTTTACCTCCTTTCTTGTGAAGGACAGATACTTTCGCCACCTGCATCGCCGTAGGAAATACTCCAGACGAAAAACAAAGATCACAAATATGAATTACGTATGACACCATTATATCAATAACGAACTTTAGTGGGCGTGTTTGTATATCATCGCAATCGCAGCTAGAGCTGTTTTTTAATTGCATAAATGTAAAGAAAATACCTGAGCATCTGTGTTCAAGAAACATGGAATGACTATTTCCGAGTTCTATGTATCTGCAAGGATCAGTATTAACGTTTGTAGTAGATAAATTCGCAAAATATTAACTGAAAGCATTAGCTAAGAAAAGACCACTCAGATGCACACCGTCCCGGTTAATATTATTAACTGGCTGATGGGCTGAACCAAGATTTAACACTGAATTTAGTTTTTGCCAAACCAGGTCCGTGCGGCAATTTGTATCCTTAAACTCCTTATCATGATGCTCAGCTTTAGCTGAACGTAATAATTTTGTTTGTTGGTTGCAATATATTTTAAAGGACCGTAGAAATTGCGGGTCTCTAGATTTAACAAATGTTTGCTACATCACGTTCTTTGTTTTAATTTTTTCAAGTAAATCAGGTGTTATCCACGTTCCTTTTTATTTTTTTAGATTTCTTAAACACTTTGTCCGGAAAATGATGACTATAAATGCTTTGAAATAGTTTTAGCAAATGTCCATAGACTTCATCTACATCTTCTGAACCAAACATATCACACCAATTAGTTTCTGCAATCTCTTGTCTGAATGCATTCAACCCTCCGGTGGTTATACGTTGAAACGGGTACGATGCATTATTTCAATTTTGTTTAGGGTTTCTATTTTTCAAATATGTTGTTAAAAATAGCGACAGTGTACCCTTTCTTCTAATAGTATCTATACGTGACCGAGTCTCACTATGTTTAATTATGGCATAGGCCTTTTGCGCCTAGTGATTGGCAAAAACAATTTCCTTAAGTAAGCTATATATCATATAGCACACTTGTGCATTGAAAATGGTTACCCAATTAGTGAGACACCACGCGAAAACTATCCCGCTGAGTATCCGAATATTGTAGGGCTGTATGACTGCATGCACTAGTCGACTTGAGTCAATTTGTAAGTACTCTTGAATTTGCCTGTGGCAATGTTGACAATAAAATAACAAACTTCTGCAGATGTTTCTCGGTATTGTGCATTTGCTTTATATAAACTTGATCTGTATTAATCAAAGTGTGTATGGTTTCCTGTCCAGAATAATTCATTAAAATATCCTGCCAGCGTTTCATGGATGATTAGACAAGGGATGTAAATCTATTGTGGTAATTGCTTTTTTGTCAAATACTGAGGCCACTACACTGAATGTGGTCGGGCTGTTATTGCAGAGGCTAGTGCTCTTGGCCAAGCAGGGATACAGGCCACGGCGAAAAGTCAGTCACAGGAATCGGGTGAGCGGCTTTAATCTAAGCAGACAAACTGTAAAAAGAGCAAAATCTGAATACTTATGCAACCCGTAAGGTAAAAAACAGCGATAGCTGACGTGAGATGTCAGAGCCGCTAAGATGTCATTTTGAAGAAGATGGCCTGAATGAAAGGTAAAGGTGCGAGTGCGCACCAGAGAGTCGAGTGTCGCGTCAAACTGAGCAACACACCGGACGAAAAGTCCTTAGAGCTTTGGAAGCAATGAGGATGTATTAAGCAGAGAGCGTTTCAGCTGTCTGGGTAAAAGGGGAACGTGTTTTTGTACCTAAATTCGGTACAATTATTTACACTTGCTAAGCGAGAAGCTTCAAATAAACAGGGACAAGAGACGAAATGAACTGTCAAATAAAGATTTATTGAAACAAACTCACTATTAATACCATATTTCTGGCTATTCGTTTAGAAAATAAAACCCTGTATCTGTCTGGTGTATTGACGGGGCAGTAACGCAATTGCCTTTTGATACAGAATGCATCGTAAAATTCAAAGGAAGTTTTATCGGCGTATGCCCTGAAGAATAGTTGTCTGCTAATTTTGGGTCACCATGGGCACCTATCTCAGTAAACTGGCACATTGCACGGCGGGGACTGTTTTACTGACCACGCACGTTACCTTGCTACCATGCATGACCATGCATGTTATCTTGCTTGCTTGTTATCTTGTTATGAGCGGCCCGTGGAATGTTTGGGCGGAGTATTGAAAATGGCCCGCGTCAATATGGAGCGCGGTTGACGGCGCGGAAGCGCGAAGTGCCCCACTAACAACTATCACTGTAACATCGCTGTAAAAAAAAAAAAAAGCATTCCTGTGCAACTTTATTGTACACCTACAGAGATAGAAAGAAGCAGGCGTTTATTAAAAATGAGGGCAATCGTCGCCTATGGCAGGCGCTGTGAGATCGACCTAGTGCAATCCTGATACCTCGGGCACAAAGTTGCGTCACGGTATGACTGTATGGTGCTCTGTAAATGTCTTGCTGATTCCTGATGTACCCACATAGTAATCGAAGGCGCGCAAAGGCGCGGTGGCGTTATCCCGTCTTTATCTTACTCGGTGCGTAATCTCAAGAGTGGGCGCGTTACAGATTCGTCAGGGTGCCAGCTGCCTGCATAACTTCATTCCATGGGAGCTATTTATAGGCAATCTGAGAACACGGTTTATATTTATGCCGTTGTTTGCCGAAGTTGCTGGCGCCGTTTTCGTGCTAACAATTTTGGCAAATGATGCAACTGGTGTCGCGGCATGTACTAACTAGAGAGTTTTCACTCACCTGAGGCATATATGTGTCGAGGAAGTGCGCTTCAAATATGCTTACTTGTGACCGGGTTGCTGTCAATGCTACACAAAGGGCCACGTGTCAGGCCTTCATCAGTCCTGATGAAGGCCGGACTCGGGCGGAAACGTCGACCAAAATGTGATAAAACTCCACTAAAAGCTGCGAAGTACATTTACTTTCTTTTACACTTTTCGTCGTCCTGCAAAACACGTTTTTCCTTTTATATATAATATATTGTAACAGTAAGCAAGAGAAGAAGAAGAGGAGAAAGAGAAGCGGGCTCCCGAGCTAGTGGAGCTAGAAGAACGTTGATCGGTCGCACAATAAACCATTACAATTTGGTGGCAATGGTGGGATGCGGACTGAAACACGTCAAGGACTTCTGCCGTCAAGAGGGGGACTTTCCGGTGAGCCATCTCCCTCGAGCCATCTACGAGATGACACCGGTTCGCGATCGAATATGGCACCAATAGACACTCAGACGACAGTGGTGACACTCGGAGTTCTGGAAGGACTACTGGAACGACAAACGGAAGCAATCATGGCCGCTGCGCAGCAACGGTCAGACGATTTTATTGCAAACTATGCCGACATCTGTCAACGAGTCGCTGTTTTGGA